TGTTGGGCTGAAGTGGGTGATGAACCGTTACTGGGTCCGAAAATTATTAGAGAGACAACCAAGAAAGTTGTTCTCATTCAGAAGAGGTTAGCTACGGCCCAAAGCTGATAAAAGAGTTATGCCAATAAGAGGAGATAACCTTTATCTTTTGAAGTTAGTGACCATGTATTTCTAAAAATCTCACCAAGGCGGGGTTTGATGAGATTTGGTAAGAGTGGTAAATTATCTCCAAGGTTCATTGGGGCGAAGAACAACTGGTTCAAATATTAGATACCCGGGAGCAAGTGCTACGGGGCAAAACTACACCGTTGGTAAAGGTGTTGTGGAGACACCATGGAGTTAAAGAAGCGACGTGGGAACGAGAGGCAGAAGTCCGCTCTAAGTATCCGGATTGTTTGAAAATGCTTAAGTTGTTTTTCCTTATAATATTCCCTAGTGTTTGAGGGAAATGCATTAAAATTGTTGGCCACATGTTGTTATGTATGTTGTTATGTTAAGCATAAAGTAGTTACGGATTATCATTTCTTTGCTTCATGTTCAGGTCAATGTGGACGGTTGTTGTTAATGAGATAACCATGGTGAAAAAAAAAATGGTTGAAAGTTAATATTTTGATTTTAAAATGAAATAGCGTGGTTTTGATCGCTAAAAACCCCCTTTGTTTGAGTAGTTTGATTTGAAATTTTGGGGACGAAATTCTTTGAGGGGGGGAGGTTGTAGCAATCCCGATTTTGACCCATCTCTTGTGGTGTTCCGGGCTTGGGTTGGTATGGTTTTGAACGGTTTTACGTATCTTAGTTTCCCTTGTATTCCCCTTATTTTTGGTTATCGGGTTATAGTGGTGTGTTTGGAATAGGTAATGTCTCCAAACCATTAGATGCGAATCCAACCCGAATTGCGCCTTGCAGAGTTGTATCGGAAGTTAATTCTTTCATGTTTTGCCACTTTGCTGAGTATGTCGGGGGTCGAGCTGCCCGATCAGCTCACCGAAGCAACAATGCAAAATGCATTCGAAGTTGCTTGTCCGCTCGAGCGGCCGTTTATGGGCTCGAGTGGAGAATGTTTGATTCCAGAAGTTTGACCTGTCTGCAAAAGTACTGTGAAAGTATATTCGACGTTCGAGCGGGGCTTTCCACGCTCGAGCAGACCATGTTATATCAGTTCGTGAATCTGATATTTCATATTACTTTTGTATATCTCTCTCTTTAAAAACCCTTTCCTCTCCCTTCTCTCTACATTTCCCTACCCCAACCTACACCAAATTGGATCAAAACCTTGATTTCTCAATATCCATTAGAGTTCTGCCATAAGTTTTTCATCAAAGTTGGTTGAATTCTCAAGGGCTTGGTTGTGTGCGGTGAAGATCGAGTTTCGACACCGTTGATTTTGGGGATTTCATCTCATTTCTTCTTCAAAACTTGAGGTAGCAATTTTCTTAGAGTTATATATATATATATTTGCAAGATCTATATGATTTTTGCAAAATCATCTTCGATAGCTTTGAAAAATTGATTGGTTGATTCAAGAAGTGAGCGATTTTGAAAGTGTGTTGTCTTTTGTTCTTTTAAAATGATCTTATGGGTTTTGATCTTCGTGATGAAGAAAAAGATGATAAAACTTCATAATGTTTTCTTTCAAAAGATTTAGTTGTATAGCTTTGGCTTGAGAAAACTAGAAGGGGGGATTTTTTTAAAAAGAAGACTGAAAATCCATGAATGATATTATTTGTATTTATTTTGTGTGTCAAATTAAATGGATGTTTGGAAAATTTCTTATTTTATTTATATAAATCTCTCTAATTCCAGAATATGAGAATTGTTGTTCATTTTGGAAATTATTGTTCAAAACGTTAAAATAGTCTTGAAATGACTAATTCTTAAGGATACTTGAGAAGAGGGAATTGTGTTATTCATTGGATGACGAATTAGAATAAAAGTATTTATATTCATCTTGTGTTATTGGCATGGCAATTCATTTGATTACATTAAACTTTGAAAGTTAATTTGAAAACTTGCATTGAGAAAAGAATGCTGAAAAACAAGTTTTCATGAAATAGTTTTAGGATAAATACGTTAGTAAGTCTTGATAGGTGATGTAGATGATATTGAATAAGTTGGCCTACGAGTCCAAAGTGAAAGACCGAAAACCCGCATGGATAGGTGTCGAGCCTTTCGGTTAATACCGGTAAAAATGACAATTTGGTAGTACTTGTATAATCTACTTGCAGACACCGACCTAGGGATTAGCAGAGTCATATTTACCGCCCTTGAAATAAATTGGTAAGTTTTGAACAATTGAAATTGCATGACATCGTTGAGCATGATGGTTTTCAAAAGATGAAAATGTGATTTATCTTCAAAAAGGGGCATAGCATAGCATGTGCATTTCATCTCTTGAGACTTGTATAAATTGTATATACTTTGTTAAGGATTTCCTACTGGGCTTTATGCTCACCCTACAGGATTTTTGTGCAGAAAAAGATGTGGTGATACTGCCTAACTAAAGGCGAGGAAATGTGTGTTGAGAGTACGAGACTCTTATTTTGCTGTAACTCTGTGTGTAAGCCAAGGGTTGTATGTGTGTGGATTTGAATAACCGTTTTGTGTAACCAGGCTCAAGCCTTGGAAACTTGTAAACCCTTGGGGGTATTTATTTGTTTATTTACTTATTGTTGGATTAATGTATTGTTGCATGAAGAACAATTGTATCATGTAATGTAAGTTTAGAGATTTATATTCGATTTTCCTTGAAAGAGCCATGATTGTTGTATTATTATTTGGGATAAAAATTTGTGGCGTTACAAAGTTTTTAGTAGCTGAAGGTGTATTTTCCTATAATATGGGTAAACGTAGATTGATGTGGGATAATGTAGTGAGATATGAATCTCCTTAATTTGACTAACCAAATAGCCTTTGATATAGCTGAATGGAGAAGAAAGATTCATGTAGCTGACCCCATATGATGGGACTTCAGACTTGTTTGATTTGGTTTGGATGAAATACATGAATTGCCTAACAAAATAAATGGTTCAAATTATTCAAACAAGATCCGTGATGAGTCTCACGAATCCAAACAGCTCCCTCCTTTGAACTGGAGGAGATCCTCTTCCTTGCTAAATAACTTACATTTCGCCATAAAATCCTTAACCATTGTACTAATATTCTAATCTAGTTCACTTTTACCATTGCTTGATGAATCTTGACGTGAGCTTTATTGTACAAATCTAAGATGCCGCAACATCCACCGCAAGCCAAGAACCATTTTTGAATCTGATGGTGTGACGACCTAGCATGCCATCCGTCTCGTTTCCCTTGTTTAATCTCGAATTTGTCACGTTAGTGTGTCGAGTCTCACATGAAGTCTTGTTAAATCATTCGAGTTGTTGTCGTGCTCAGAAGTTTGTCTCAAATTCTTGTTCTTGCCTCTTTGGTGTTGATTTCCTTTTGTCCCGGAGGATGTGAGGTCCGATCTAAGGTACCTAGAATTGAAGAGAGAAAATTTTGGGTTAGAAACCAAGGGCCGCATGTGCGGGGAGTGAGGCTGCACGTGCGGAATTCAGGGGTTGTTTGGCATAGCACACTGCTTAAATTGTAGGTGCGGAGAGGAAGTGCAGGGGCAGCCGCACGTGCGGAGACCAGTGCCGCACATGTGGGAAGAAGGAAGCCACACGTGCGGGGGCACGTGCCGCACGTGCGGGACAGGCCTGGATCCGAATCTCTATTTTATTTTTTTTTTGCTTTTTTGGCTAAATTTGTATCACATTTGGGGCTTTCCTCTCTCACTCTAAACACCATTTTGCTCTTCCTTCTCTCTAAAAACCCTCACCTAGCACTCCAAATCCTTGATTTCCTTGTGATTCCTTGAGCCTAGGATCATCATCTTTCCTCTAATCTTGAAGATCAAGCTAGGGCTCCTCTTGGTGTAGTGGAAGTTGAAGGATCTTCCATCAAAGCTAGGGTTTCACCTCCATTTCTTCATCAAACCTTGAGGTAGGAATTTCTTGAGTTATATATACATGTTTTGCTATAATGATGTTGATTTAAAAAGTTTTCTTGAAATCTTATGTTGATGTTTATTTTGAGACCAAACTGTAGAGAGTTTTAAAGAGTGGGTTTTAAATCTCAACCCTTGTTAATCTTAGGGTTATTTTCCTTTTTATTAAACTCAAGAAAAATGGTTTTGGTAGGGCTTCACCAAGGAAATGGAAATGTTTGGTTTATGATGAAAAACCCTAGAAATCTAGGGATTTTGGAAAGTATGGAAATGTCTAGAGTGATTTTATTCTTCATGTGATAAAAGAATGGATATGTGTAGGTTTCATGATGTGGTTTTACAAAATGGCAAATCAAATTGATATATCGAAATGAAGAATTTGTTTTAGAAACTATTGTTAAATATATGATGATATATGGCTATGAGATGACAAATTGTTGTGCACTATGGATTTGTAAGATTTATAAACATTGGAGATTAATGTTTGAAAACACCACATGTAGTCTTGAAGAGACTAAATTGTTGAGACTTGTGAAATAAGAAGTTGTAACTATGTGTTGATGACATATGGTTATCTTGTGGAAGAACATTGAAACGAGGAAATAGGAAGTGTGATTATTGACATTATTGTAGACATATTTGAAAATGGAGAAATGCTATGAGGTATGGAAAATCATTGCATTGCATGCTCATTCAATTTATAATTATGCATTGTGAATTTAGATTGAAGATATTTACTTCATGAAAGAAAAAGGCATTGTAATAAGAACTATGGAAATGTGTTGTGGGGTAAATACGTTGGTAAGTCCGGATAGGGGTGTAGATGAGTTTGATAAGTTGGCCTGAGTGTCTGGGGTGAAAGACCAAAAACACGCACGGAGGGTTTGGATTAAAACTCTTAACCACCACTAATTTCTCACCCAAAACTGAAGACGAAGCCCTTAGGGCCAAATTGAATAAAAAAGTCAAGCTCATGGAAATGATTTTTAAGAATTGCGTTAATTGAAGTAAACAACCCATTCAACACGCTATAAATAATTGAGGAAGCAACTCCAAAAGGAAGGACTCATCAAGAAAATGATGGTCTTCTAGGTTGCTTTCAATGAACAAATATTTGAAAATGGAGAAATCCTATGAGGTATGGAAAATCATTGCATTGCATACTCATTCAATTTATTATTATGCATTGTGAATTTAGATTGAAGATGTTTACTTCAGGAAAGAAAAAGGCATTGTAATAAGAATTATGGAAATGTGTTGTGGGGTAAATACGTTGGTAAGTCCAGATAAGGGGTGTAGACGAGTTTGATAAGTTGGCCTGAGTATCCGGGGTGAAAGACCGAAAACACGAGCGGAGGAGGTAACACTTCCCTTCCGGTTAGCAACTGGTAAAGTGGGGTATTGGTAGTGCTTGTTGAGCCTACTTGCAGACACCAACCTAGGAATTACCTGACTCGTATTTACCGCCCCTATTAAATTAAAATGGAAAGTTTTCTTTGGAAATTGTTGAGATCGCAAACTTTCATTGAAACAAGTTGGCTATCAACAAGAACATGACATGAAACTCTCCTTATAATGGCATTGCATGGCATGGACATTTGCATTTTACATTGAGAGTTTGCATAACTGTATATACTTTGTAAGAAATTCTCTACTGGGCTTTATGCTCACCCCTATGGGATTTGGTACAGGTAAAGATTTAATGATCCCGCCGAGCTGAGGGCATGGATATGTTTTGAGAAGAGTAGATTACTCTTTTATTTTGTTGTACATTTTTTTGTAAAGCCAAGGGCTAAAAGTGTATGGGTCCGAAAGATCATTTGGTGTAACCAGGCTCATGCCTTGGAAGATGTAAGCCGATAAGGGCATTTTGTTTATTTTTGAGACTGTATGCTTCACATGCTATAGATTCATGCGTTTTCCTACCAATAAATGTATAATTCGTATGTGAAACTTTTGTGAAAACTCGCTTATTAACTATATAGAAATGGAAGGATTATTGTCATTATTTTGTGGATGTCAGTTGATGTTGTTGAGCATATTGGTTTATTTTCGGGGGCGTTACAGATAGATATGGACTTCACATTTTTTTATATATATTTATTTATTTTGGGTATTCTATACATAAAGTGAAGAAAATAGAAATAATTGCTCAAAAATTCACATATGTGCATGTATAAGACATTAAATTTGAATCTTTATTTGTGCGAATGACATAGTCACAATATTTTTTTATTATTGATTTGCTTCTTTAATATATATATATTTTTTTGTTTAAACTTTAAAATGTTATAAATTTAGCTCTACAACTATGTTTAATAAAATCTATCACTTTATTGGTTTTGTTTTCATAATCTATTTTTTGAAAAAAATATTAAAAAACTAGTTTGGTGAAAATAAATATCAAAAAGATATTTTTGAATTTTAAAACTGTTATTTATTTATTTGTTGGTGAGTATGTGTTAAAAAGAGAACAATATGAAAATGTTAAGTCTTTTGGGGATTTTCATTATTTTTTCACCAGAATAAATTTTCATTAGCTTTAGTTTTTCATTGAACACATTTTAAAGACAGAACCAAACAAATTGTATTTGGATTGCTTTTTTGAGATATTTCAAAGAAAATTTATATTGAATATGAAATTTAGAATTTTTTTTTAAGCTTGACCTAATAATTAGGTGCAACTATTAGCGACAATTAGATATAATCATTTGGTTATTTATTGATTAAATCCCTTTTTCTTTTCTTTTTTTATTGCATTGGCCACCTAATAATTAGGTGCAACTATTAGCGACAATTAGATATAATCATTTGGTTATTTACTGATTAAATCCCTTTTTTTTATTGCATTGGCCTATTGAATTAAACACAATTCAATAATTACAGTTAAAATTACTGTTCGATTATAAGATTTTGCAGTGGTTAGTAATAAATCGAAACGAATTTGGTTATGAGACTTTGTCTTGTTTTGTTTTGAATTGAAGTGACTTGGGTTATGAGACTTTCATTGTATTTTTAAAAAAAAAAATATTTATGAACCAATTTAGTTTTGCTTTGTACCACTTATTTCAAACTAGTGTAATATTTTCTCCTAAAAAAACATAAAAGTGGTAAATGTCACTATTTTAACTAATAAAATATAAGTAGAGATACCACATATATTTATTGGTGTAGCAAATTATAATTTCCTCTTCCAATTTGGACATTTTAAAGGATATTTGTTTGGATTAAAACTCTTAACCACCACTAATTTCTCACCCAAAACTGAAGACGAAGCCCTTAGGGCCAAATTGAATAAAAAAGTGAAGCTCATGGAAATGATTTTTAAGAATTGCATTAATTGAAGTAAACAACCCATTCAACACGCTATAAATAATTGAGGAAGCAACTCCAAAAGGAAGGACTCATCAAGAAAATGATGGTCTTCTAGGTTGCTTTCGATGAACAAATATTAAATATAATGGTGATATTAGACAATAGCGTCATTATCTAAGGAGTAATTTCACTTTGTGATAAAGATGACAATATGATTGAACTAGACTTGTCGACCTACTTGTATTGAAAAAGTCAATTAACCCAGACTTACCTATCCTGAATTTTCTGAGTGGGTGATTGTGTAGTAGAGACTAATTTGTGTAATGTGGGATTCATGTAGGGTGTGGTAGAGATTAATTTCTTGTTAATTTTTAAATTGCTAAGAGTGAGTTTTAATATTACTCAATTGTACTTTTGATTTTTTATTGCCCAAACAACACATAAAATATGAAACTTGAGCTAAAGCAGACAAGATTGCTTGAATGTAATGGATATGAACTTAACCTTTTTTTAGGGATATTCTATGCATTTATATATCATTTGGCTTCTTATGAAGAAAAAAAATGGAAAGTTGAAAAAGAGAAAAGAGAAATGGAAATGTAAGACCCAAGTATAAACCAATACCGACTCATTTGGTAGGTTTTCATCGATTCTATTATAGAACTTATTTACCTAACATCATTCTAGGGCCGGTCGTGAAGCAAGGCGGGGAAGGTTGTTGCCTTAGGCTCCATGGCCTTGTTTGGTTTGTATCTACCGATACAATTTTTGAGAAAAAATTTCAAAAATTTATTTGGTTAAAAAATGTAACGCCCCAAATTTTTAGCCCAAATGATAATGCAACAATCATGGCTCTCTTAAAGGAAAACCAAATATAACTTCCCATACTTGCATTACATAATAATAATAGTTCCTCATGCGATATTACATTGATTCAACAACAAGTAAATAACCAAATAAGCAACCCCAAGGGTTACAATCTTCCAAGGCTTAAGCCCGGTACACAAAATGGTTATTCAAACCCACGCATACATAGCCCTTGGCTTACAAATAGGATCACAGCAAATGAGAACTTTAGTGCTCTCAACACACACATTTACACTTCCTCAATTAGGCGAATTCACCACGTCTTTTCCAGCACAAAAATTCGGTGGGTGAGCATAAAGCCCAGTAAGAAATCCTTAACAAAGTATATACATTTTATACAAGTCTCAAGAGATGAATGCATATGCCATGCCATGCCTTTTTGAAAATAAAACACCTCTTCATCTTTTGAAAACCATCATGCTCAATGATGTTATGCAACTTAAGGTAAAGTGGGGTATTGGTAGTGCTTGTTGAGCCTACTTGCAGACACCGACCTAGGGATTACTTGACTCGTATTTACCGCCCCTATTAAATTAAAATGGAAAGTTTTCTTTGGAAATTGTTGAGATCGCAAACTTTCATTGAAACAAGTTGGCCATCAACAAGAACATGACATGAAACTCTCCTTATAATGGCATTGCGTGGCATGGACATTTGCATTTTACATTGAGAGTTTGCATAACTGTATATACTTTGTAAGAAATTCTCTACTGGGCTTTATGCTCACCCCTATAGGATTTGGTGCAGGTAAAGATTTAATGATCCCGCCGAGCTGAGGGCATGGATATGTTTTGAGAAGAGTAGATTACTCTTTTATTTTGTTGTACATTTTTTTGTAAAGCCAAGGGCTAAAAGTGTATGGGTCCGAAAGACCATTTGGTGTAACCAGGCTCATGCCTTGGAAGATGTAAGCCCATAAGGGCATTTTGTTTATTTTTGAGACTGTATGTTTCACATGCTATAGATTCATGCGTTTTCCTACCAATGAATGTATAATTCGTATGTGAAACTTTTGTGTAAACTCGCTTATTAACTATATAGAAATGGAAGGATTATTGTCATTATTTCGTGGATGTCAGTTGATGTTGTTGAGCATATTGGTTTATTTTCGGGGGCGTTACAGATAGATATGGACTTTACATTTTTTTATATATATTTATTTATTTTGGGTATTCTATACATAAAGTGAAGAAAATAGAAATAATTGCTTAAAAATTCACATATGTGCATGTAGAAGACATTAAATTTGAATCTTTATTTGTGCGAATGACATAGTCACAATATTTTTTTATTATTGATTTGCTTCTTTAATATATATATATATTTTTGTTTAAACTTTAAAATGTTATAAATTTAGCTCTACAACTATGTTTAATAAAATCTATCACTTTATTGGTTTTGTTTTCATAATCTATTTTTCGAAAAAAATATTAAAAAACTAGTTTGGTGAAAATAAATATCAAAAAGATATTTTTGAATTTTAAAACTGTTATTTATTTATTTATTGGTGAGTATGTGTAAAAAAGAGAACAATATGAAAATGTTAAGTCTTTTTGGGATTTTCATTATTTTTTCACCAAAATAAATTTTCATTAGCTTTAGTTTTTCATTGAACACATTTTAAAGACAGAACCAAACAAATTGTTTTTGGATTGCTTTTTTGAGATATTTCAAAGAAAATTTATATTGAATATGAAATTTAGAATTTTTTTTTTAAGCTTGACCTAATAATTAGGTGTAACTATTAGGGACAATTAGATATAATCATTTGGTTATTTACTAATTAAATCCCTTTTTATTTATTTATTGCATTGGCCTATTGAATTAAACCCAATTTAATAATTACAGTTAGAATTACTATTTGATTATAAGATTTTGCGGTGTTTAGTAATAAATCGAAGTGAATTTGGTTATGAGACTTTGTCTTGTTTCGTTTTGAATTGAAGTGACTTTGGTTATGAGACTTTCATTGTATTTTTAAAAAAAATATTTATGAACCAATTTAGTTTTGCTTTGTACCACTTATTTCGAAACTAGTGTAATATTTTCTCCTAAAAAAAACATAAAAGTGGTAAATGTCACTATTTTAATTAATAAAATATAAGTAGAGATACCACATATATTTACTGGTGTAGCAAATTATAATTTCCTCTTCCAATTTGGACATTTTAAAGGATATTAGTTTGGATTAAAACTCTTAACCACCACTAATTTCTCACCCAAAACTGAAGACGAAGCCCTTAGGGCCAAATTGAATAAAAAAGTCAAGCTCATGGAAATGATTTTTAAGAATTGCGTTAATTGAAGTAAACAACCCATTCAACACGCTATAAATAATTGAGGAAGCAACTCCAAAAGGAAGGACTCATCAAGAAAATGATGGTCTTCTAGGTTTCTTTCAATGAACAAATATTAAATAATTGAGGAAGTAACTCCAAAAGGAAAGACTCATCAAGAAAATTATGGTCTTTTCGGTTGCTTTCAATGAACAAATATTAAATATAATGGTGATATTACACAATAGTGTCATTATCTAATGAGTAATTTCACTTTGTAATAAAGATGACAATATGATTGGACTAGACTTATCTACCTAATTGTATTGAGAGTCTGTTAATCCAAACTTACCTATCTAGAATTTTCTGAGTGGGTGATTGTATGGTGGAGACTAATTTGTGTAATGTAGGGTCCATATAGGCTGTGGTAGAGATTATTTTCTCGATAATTTTTAAATTGCTAAGAG